GAAAATTATTGATGATAACATGCATGATTAAGCCACTATGCAGTATATTCTGGATGGGAAATCACATTTTGTATACTGTGATGATGGTTAGGGAATGAATGTCAATTAATTAATTAAAAAATGTTTTAGAGAAAATAAAAATAAATAAAATTGAATAAATTCTAAAAAAAGAAATTACATAATTTTGTCTCTATTTATTCAGATTAAATAAATTTAAATACATAGTCATACATACTTTACTGCATATAGAAAAAGAACTTGAGTGTTATATCAGTTGATAGATATTATATAATCTGATTTTTATAGTGACTTATGACTTTATAATATGCTATATGATGGGATATACATTATATTTAAAATATATAGTGAAATCATTTTATTTTTGAGGTTGTTGGAAAAGTCAGGACATATTTTTCTGATTTTCTATGCAAAGATATATCATGTCTTTTCTGACAATCCAATAAAGTTCTGTGGAAATAATTTCTCTGTGCTTCAATAAGCCCTAATTTAGAATAAAGTTTTGTTTGTTTTTATTAAAACAAAGAGGTTTATTGAGAAGGGTTTCTACTGGTGAGGAAATTACCTGTGAAATCAACCAGTGCAGCCTGGTTTCCTGAGAAAGAACAGGCTAAGAAAAACCAATCCAGGAAGTTAAGTCAAAGAAAACCAAAATCCAGGGCTCTTAGAATCTGAGAAGTAACATCAAGAAAGTGACAGGAAACTCCAACCCACCTGAGATTCTGTTGCTGGGGTCCCAGGGGTCACTCCATCCTCCAAACTGCCTCCATGGCTCACATCAGCATCCTGAGGTAGCAGAGCTGGAGAAGGACAAGAGCTGTGAGGTTTGCATCTCCCCCAAGCTCCCCCAACAGAAAAACTGCCCGCAGACATGGGCTTGATCTTTATGCCTATTTTGGTATCTATTTCAGGTTGCTTTGTATTACATTTATTTGTGTAACTATTTCTCTCAATTGAGTATTATTATGAATATACGGGTAGAAACTTCTGTTGTTCATGCCTCCTCCCCAAGTGCATTACCCCCTGTCAGGTTGCTAGAACTCCAGAAATACTGGCTAAATCTAAAGTATTAAAAGTATGAACTAGGAACCAACAGATGGTGTAATGATTCCATCATTGGACTCCCACATAGTCTACCAAGTTTGAGTCCCAGACCCGGCAGCTTAAAACTCATGCCTGGCGCATGTGCACACATGCCCAAAATCCCAAGAGGAGAACAGAGAAGAAGGGATTGCAGCATGGCCATTCTCCGCAGGTGATTTCTTGCTTTCTGTCTTTCTCCGTCTCTCCAGTTGAGTGCACACACCCTATAGCAAAAATCTCTCTCTAAAAAAAATGTATGAACTAGGGGGCTGGCAGGTGGCTAGAAGATGATTTCTCACTTTCCCTCTCCTGTATTTCTGTCCCTCTCCTCTGGCAAGTGCACACACCTCATGGCAAAACTCTTAAAAAAAAAAAGTGTGAACTAGGGGTCAACCAGTGGTGCGGAGGTTAAGGTGGCTGGATCCACACAGCCTACTGCACGGTTTGAAAAACATGCTGGGCACATGTGTGCACATGTGCCCAAAATCCCCAGAAGAAAATGGAGGAGAAGGGACTGCAGCATGGCTATACTCTGTGGAAGTGATTTCTTACTGTCTCTCTCTCTCTCTCTCTCCAGTGAGCACATGTCCTATAGCAAACTAAAATAAATAAATAAATACAGCTCAAAAGACAGTTTGGGAATAGTTGACATTTAAATATGGACTGAGTATTTAGATGATACTGTGGAATCATTTTTAATTTTGTAGCTGTGAGAAATGTGTACTGTAGTTATGCAGAAGATCTTTATTTGAAGTACTTAGGAATGAAGTAGCTCACTGTCCACAACTTTGAAATAGTTAAAAAAACATAGATTGGTAAAGCAAATATGGCAAGGTTGTTGTTAAATCTAAGCAGTGGATACATGTGGGTGTTCAGTGTCAATGATAAAAAAATTAGAATAAAATACGAGGGCAGTAATTCATAAGCCGTCATTCCTAGTTCATACCAATTTTTGTTTGCTTTTTGTTTTGTTTTTGCTCTAGGTTGCACGCACTCATCAAAGAGGGACAGAGAGGAGCTTTTGCTATAAGCCATGTGCCCGCATCCTTTCTCTCTGGCACAGGATACTCCATCCCAGCTCTCCTGGTATTTCCCTGCTGCCTTCTGCCTCTGACCTCGCCGCCAAAAACCCGTGTGACCCCGGTCAGGTCTCCCATTTGATTTACATGTCCTCACTGTTAAAATATGCAAAATCAAGGCCAGCAGATGGCTTGGTAGTTAAAGCGATGGACTCCCACATGACCAACATGGTTCAAGTCCTGTATCTGCCGGATTGCTTTTTCACTTTCTCTTTCTCTCTGGTCAAATTTAAAAATGATAATAAAATAAAATAATTATTTTTTAAAATAAAATATGGGAAATTAGACGAGTCCAGGCCACCCCAGCGCCCATGGGGAAAACAAAAGGAACAAACACACAGGACCACGACATTGGATACTGGTTTGAGACTACACTGACCACTGCTACTTAGGAAAGCCAGACGAGGAGACATAATTGGAAATTTCGATAACTGCAGTCTCCCCACCCGCAGCTCCCTTTCAGGTATCTACCTTCCTTCTGAGAGCACCTTGCTCCTCCTCCTGTGCGCCCATCAGTCTAACCGGCTCACCTTTTCCTTCAAACATTTTAGTCACATCTTCCCACTGGGGCGCCCCTTCCCTGGCCTTCTGTGCATGGTGCAGGTTCACCCAGGTGCCGACCTCGGGCAAGGTGAGCAGGCGCTGCCGCTGCTGCCGCATGGTCCTGCCTGGGCTGGTTCACTCTAGATGAGGAACCTGCTGGAAGCTCTGATGGCCGGGAGGCTGCACCTCTAACACCGACTCTTGCTCAGTGTCCTCACTTTGGAACCCGGGGAGCGCACAGTGCCAGCATCTGGGGTCAGCACTTCTTTCTGCAAGGGCTCTCAAGGCACATCTCCCAACTTGGGCTGCTTATCTCCTCGGCTGCAGCTGGAGGCGCCCGGTGCGTACTCGGAGCAGTCAGTTGCACTGTGCCCTGCGGGTGTGGGGCAGAAAACAGTCAGCAAAGGCTCCAGAAGGCGTGTCACACGATCGGAAATGCAGAACGTGCAACGATCGGTGAAAAATGTCTACAAAAGCTACATGAGCATGGACGCAGCCCACGGGGTCCCAACCGCGGTGCCAGGGTCGCGAAGCTCAGAGAAACCAGTGCAACCCAATTCTTTGTTTTAGGCTGCCTGACGTTTAGGGGTCAGAGGATGGAACCCCGGCTCCTTCACTCGTGGGCTGTGGCAAGTCACGTCACGACTCCGGCCGCGCTTCCTCCTGGCGACGTGGAGGGGCGGAAGCCAGCTGCCGCACCCTGCCCTCCAGCCTTTGTCTGCGCCCGACGCCCGGCCGCCCGGCGCTCCGCGCGCGAGGGGTAGCTGCCGGCCGCGCCTGGCGGAGCTCGCGCTTCCCGGCTCGGCCCGGTCCCAAGCCCCGGAGCCCCCGCTCACCCTCTCACCCTCCAGGACCGCACACCGAGCCTTCCCGCAGCGGCCTCGGGTCTCCGCGCCGCGAGCCCACGCTCCCACGTCGTGCAGCGGCTGGCAGCCCTGCCCGGTGCGCCTGCGCGGAGGCGGCCTCCAGCGCCCTCGCAGCCACCGGCAGGGGAGCCTCTCCCCACTCGCCCGCAGCGCAGGGGCGCTCTGCGGACACGGCCGGGTCGGTGCAGACACTGGCATCTCTCTTCCTGCAGCTGGCCCCCAAAGTCAAGGAATTAACACTCGCTCGACTAGTGACTAGACAGCTGGTATGAGAATGCCAAATCGGCGCGCCGCCAGGGGACAGGATTCTGAAGTGTGGACAGCATTATGCAGTTTCCCAGGGTTTCACTGAGATTGAATTCCAGTCCCCTACAGTGATGGCTAACTTAAGCGTGTCATCAGTGATCTTCCGCCCCGTTTAATTTCCCCCACTTCCCTAGTGGCATTTCCTGTGTTTTCCAAATCAAGCACGGTCACTGCGATCTTTGTGCCTGGATCTGCTACTGAGAGAACCTAAATTAGACAGTCACTGAACGCATGAGCCGAGAGCCTACCTCATGGCGTCCTGGCGGGCTGAGTTACCCTGGTTTACCAGCCTAACCAACCTACTCTCATCCCAGTGCAATGATCTCCTTGAAATCTCTTATTTGAGGCACATATTAAAAATAAATGCATAGAGTCTTTTCCTCTACTTGAGGATACACTGCCATCGTGAATGACAGCTATGTCCTGACCCGGGAGGGGGATAGTTGAACAGGTTTCCTGAGAGAAGGAGTGAGAGACCAGATGAATGAATGTTGCAGTGTTACAACACGGAGACAAAGCAGTGTTACAACTCTTCAGGGTCTACTGGAGGGTGCAGTGTCCCAGCTCTTCAGGGTCATCTGGCAATTCTGGGCCAGGGATCCTGGTTATATACATGTTAGTGGGCAGTGATTGGTTGAATGAAGGATTGTAAAAGGTGGGTTATGATTGGTTGCTTTTGTGGACCAATCATGAGGTGCCAGATATGCAAATCTGAGGGATTCTAAGCTCACTGATTTGCTATGGGAAGTGGCCAATCAGAGTATGGTTTGGAAGGTGAGGTTTTGAAGGGGAGCCAATTGTGGCCTTTATGGGAAGTGGCCAATCAGAGTATGATTTTGAAGGTGAGGTTTTGAAGGGGAGCCAATCATGGCCTTTGGCATTGTGTAATTGTTTGCTCTCTGAGAAACCGGAGATATTCGCTGGTGTGCAGCCTCCCACAACAGTAACTATTGGAAACATGAAATTCATGACCAACTGACTACTTCATAGGAAACAAGCGGTCATTGATGTCTCCCGCCCCCCCCCCCAAGGGCGACAGTACCTAAGACAGAAATTCCGGAAAAACCAGCGAAGATGTACAAGACCACACCAGATGTCCTCTTTGTGTTTGGGTTCAGAACCCATTTTGGCGGTGGCAAGACAAGTGGCTTTGGCGTGATTTACAATTCTTTGGATTATGTGAAGAAAAATGAACCCAAACATAGACTTGCAAGACATGGCCTCTATGAGAAGAAAAACAGTGAAAAGAATGCAAGAACAGAATGAGGACACTCGGGAGGACTGCAAAGGCCAGTGTTGGTGCTGGCAAAAGTGAGCTGGAGACTGGAGACCAGTAGAAGGAGTAACGATTCTGCAATGACTGGGACCAGCAGTTGGCGTAATGGCTATGCCGCTGGACTCCCATGTAGTTCCAGACCCAGTGGCTTAAACTCACGCCAGGTGTGTGTGCATGCATGCCCAAGATCCCGAGAGGAGAATGGAGGAGAAGGGATTGCAGCGTGACCATTCCCCCAGGGGGTGACTTCTCACTTTCTGTCTCTCTGTCTCTCTCTGTCTTTCTGGCGAGTGCATGTGCCCTATAGCAAAAAAAAAAAAAAAGAAAAAGATTCTGCAATGACTATTGGCGGTGATTGTGCAGATTTTTCATGAGAGGATTAATAAACTCAGAAATTTTTCACGTGGGGACCAGCAGTTGCATAATGGCTACGTTGCTGGACTCCCATGTAGTTGACCGTGGTTCGAGTCCCAGACCTGGTGGTTTAAACTCACGCTGTTTGTGTGTGCCCAAGATCTCAAGAGGAGAATGGAGGAGAAGAGATTGAGGTGTGGCCATCCCCTCTGGGGGGTGATTTCTTGCTTTCTGTCTCTCTGTCTCTCTCTAGCAAGTGTATGTGCCCATAGCAAAAACTTCTCCCAAAAAATGTTTTCATGTGAAAAAATAAATAAATACATAGGTTGGGGCCAGAAGGTAGTTGTGGTGCTTAACATACTGGACTCCCACATGGCTGACCATGGTTGAAGTCCCGGAACTGTGGCTTGAATATCACACTGGGCACGTGTGCATGCATGCCCAAGATCCCAAGAGGAGAATGGAGGAGGAGGGTCTGCGGTGTGGTCATCGCCCCTAGGGGGTGATTTCTCACTTTTACTCTCACTCTCTCTCTTGCTCTCTGGTGAGTGCACATGCCCTATGGCAAAAACTTTAAATAAATATATACATATATATGTAGGCAATTAATAAAGCTATACATTTATAGTTTGTGTACTTTCCTATGTGAAAGATGTATTTCAGTTACAGAGTTAAAAACATAAATATGGAGTCAGCAGGTGGCATGGTGGCTAAGGCACCACACTGCCATGTGGCCAACTGCAGTTTGACTCCCAGACCTGGCAGCTTGCTTTCTCAGTTTCTTACTGTCCCTCTCTCTGTCTCTGTCTTTCTCTGGTAAGTGTGCATGCCCTGTAGCAAAGCAAAAATAATAGTAATGATAAATAAAATTAAACAAATCTTTAAAAAAACCCACACAAATATGTAACAATCAAAATCAAAATTCAGAGTCACAGTCTGAGCTGGGTCTGAGCTCCCTGCTTCCAGTGAACTCATTTCATTTCTAAGCCACTTGGCCTCCTGCAAAGCTTTGGATGACGGTTTGTCCCCTAAGAGTTCATGTGTTGGAATTTGGTCCCCAACATAATGGCAATAGTTGGGGAGATGTTTAAGAGGTGAGGCTTACAAGATGGTGTTTGGATCACTGGGGCACCACCCCCATGAACAGATTAACACAATCTCTCAGAGCGAATTCTCCCGTAGGGGTGACATAGTTAACTCCCACCAGAGCAGGTCATTATAAAAGATGGCCGCCAGAATGGGAAAGAGGAAAAAAAAAAAAAAAAGGTGGCTACCCGCAGGGCATGCTCTCACCCTCCCTCCTACTCCTCTCCCTCTCTGTGTCTGCTGACCTTCCTGCTGCGCTCCACCTTCTTGGGATGCAGCAGGACCCAGCCAAATGCCAGCCCCACATTACTGGACTTGCCGGTCACCAGACTTACCAGCCCAAAAAAGTACATTGAAAGGGAGAAACGCTACAGGGTGTGTGCATTAACTAGAGAGACAGAGAGAGAGAAAATGAGAACGCCCCCCCCATGGCGGGGGGGGGGGTGACCATACCACAATCCCTTCTCTCCGCTCTTTATTTTGGGCACACACATGTGCCTGGCATGTTTTTCAAGCCGCTAGGTCTGGGAGGACGTGAACAGTGTAGTCGGCCAAGTGGGATCCAGAAGTTTTAACCACCACACCACTGGCTGGCTCTAAACCTGCACTGAATTTTTTCTTTCCCTCAAGGCTAGCAGGTAGTATAATTAAGGTGCTGAACTCCCACATGGCCAACTGTGATTCAAGCCCTGGACCTGGTGACTTGAAAATAACGCTCATGCATGTGAGTGCCCAAAATCCCGAGAGAAGAATGGAGAAGGGATTGCAGTGTGGTCCTTCCCCCAGGAACTGATTTCTCACTTTCCGTCTCAGTATCTCTATTTGTCTCTCTCTGGTGAGCGATTATGCTCTATGGCAAAAACCTTCAAAAAAAATTGTTTTCCCTCTGACCAGCAGGTGGCGTGGCCAACTGTGGTTTGAGCCCCAGACTCAGCAGCTTGAAAATCCCGCTGGGTGCACGTGTATGCATGCCTAAAATCCCAAACGAAGAATGGAGAAGAGATTGTGCCATGGCCATCCCCCAGGAAGTGATTTCTCACTTTCCCTCTCTTTGTCCCTTTCTCTCCAGCAAGCTCCGGCATCCTATGGCAAAACCTAAGTGTATATATATATATATATTTATTTTTTCTTTATTGCCAGAGGATGCATGCACTCACCAAAAAGAAGAGAGAGATGCCTCCCCCCCCAAAAAAAAACCACAATGGGGCATGGTCACACTTCAATTTCTTTTCCTTCTTTTCTCCATCCCATCAGGATTTGGGGCACACATGCACATGGGCCCAGGATTTATTTTGAGAGAGAGATTTTTTTACTTTAGGATGCACGCACTTGCCGAAGAGACAGCAAGACAGAAAATGAGAAATCACTCCCCGGAGAGGATGGCCATGCCCAGGATGGTTTGTTTGTTTGTTTGTTTTTTGAGAGTTTTTTTGCTATAGGGCACATGCACTTGCCAGAAAGACAGAGAGAAACAGAGAGATGGAAAATGAGAAATCACTCCCCCCAGCGGGGATGGCCACCCTGCAATCCTTTCTCCTCCATTTTCTTCTCAGGATTGTCGACAGAAAAAAATAACCAACTGTAAAATTAATAATTAATGTGGTTTATTTCCAAGCCAACTGTGAGTGACCTAGGCCAGAGAAGAGGCATACATGCCTTTTCTCGGGGTGATCATGTACTGAGGTTCTTTTTATTTGCTTTTGAGATTGAC